ATCAACAATATCTTTCTTCATGTACATATGTACATAACTGTCTGTGTGCATTCCATCAGTGAATAAACCGATTTGCCAAGGAACGTTATCTGTCTCGTCACCCATATTCCATACACGAATAACGTCTTTCCCGCCAAGTATTGAAAACACAATCGTGATATTTTTGCCAATTTCTAACTCTCTCAATATATCTCCTGTCTCACCAATCAAACTTTTAAAATTTGTCTCATCATATTCAACTTCCAATTTGAAATCGACACCTGTTATTGTCTGTTGCACAAAGAATGATGTAATCACAATGAACATATATTCTGGGTGACTGCGAACTGTCATATAAACATTGTGTCTGCCTTGACACACGTATTGGTCGAATGTTATATTATGGCGGCCTGTATGGTAATTTATTTCTTGACGTGAACTGCCATCAAGTTGTATATACATGTTAATTTCAGCATTATCTTGCACATTCCATGTTATCTCAGCTGTTTGACCAAATTCAAGGCTGAAAGGATCTGAAGGTTTAAATTCAGTGAGGGGAACTTTAACGTACCGCTGGTAGGAACTGATAGAACAATCAATTATGTTACAACACGTGACATTCGCGATGTACAGACCAGGTTGGTTATAGCTATGACTGACAGTCACAAGTTCAGGTAAGTTATGAGTGGTTTCAAGTATCTGATCGTCATCAAACGCCCACGTGCACGTAGTCGATTCACCGTCGACTATATATGTTTTAAAAATGGCATTTTCTCCAAGCATTACTAATTCGCTCTCCAAAATTTGGAGGCCTGGCAAATGAAGATTGGTGACATAAGTCGGAATTTCATTTATCGCCTCGGCATCTCCAAGTATTGGGCGTGTATTTTTTGTTATAACCAGTTCTTGTTGTTTAAAAGCAGATCCAACAAAATGTTTCACAGTAATGTTGAACAAGTATGTCCCGGGTGCTGCATATGATATACTGAACGTATACTGTGTTTTGGTGTGGAATACATCTTCGATTGTATCAGCATATTCACCGAAATCTAAGACCAATGATACTTGTAGATCAAGACTGTCGATCGTCACGTCAATACCACATTGGATAACTTCATTCGGAAGGTACATCATACTGGCATGTTTTACAGATATAAAGTTCGTCCAATGTGACCAGCACTGACTACTTATTTCGACAGATCGAGACTCCTGGAGGGATTCAGAGTAAATACCGCTGTGGAAAACGTTCAAGCGAGAGGACACACCAAATGTATTGAAAAATGTGTTATTCGCTCCTTTTTGTGAGATGGTATAGTCAGCTTTACTGTGAACTAAAAACAGGCTACAATCCCCGCTGTTCATATCGCTTGGAGTGTATGAATTTGAACACGTGCAATCATGATCGTTGTCAATTGCACAGTAGAAAATCCAGCATGTTTGCAATATTTGCGACATTCACCAATAGATGCCTTTCCGAAACTATCAGTAAATTCTCCCTGGTCTGTCATACAACCAATGTAGGCAGGATCTAAAAAAATATAATGATATAATTTGTATATATAAGTAATATCGTGTTTGATATCGTGAGACGAGACCAGCTGTAAATTGTCAATTACACTCGTAGTATTAAATAAAATAAATTCTTACCACTGTAAACCATTATTTCACTTATTTTCAAAACAGATGATTGGATCATTTGCTTAAAGGTCGTAAACACAAACTTTCCAGTCAGTATATCGCCACAGACCACAGTGACAG